CCAACGCCCAGGGAGGAACAGCAATTCTAAATGGAAAACAAGCCAGAGCCTTTCATTTTTAGTCACTGAGGTTTAAAGTCCCTAGCAACCAAAAAGTAAAATAAAAAAATAGAATTTTTGACACAGCATTCAGCATACTATTTCTAAATCAGTCTAAAACAATTCGTGGGTCACTGTCATCCAGCTCCCCAGCACACTTTCTGATGGTTGAAAGATCTCATTTTTCCACCATTTCTAAACAAAGTGAACTGTGAGCAGAGTAACACAGCGTATGTTATGTTGATGGAAAAAACATGAATAGATTTTGAGGTGGGAGTTAAATTTCAAGACACCGCAAAATTCTACTTCTTCTACATCTCCTCAGCAATAGTCTTTTCTATAGTTGAAGAAGAACCAAAAGGTCTACAGATAAAAAGATGGATAAAGGCGAGTAGCAAAGGAGCACCCACCTGCAGGCAGCAGAGAAGCCCAAGGAGTCCCCAGGATGGCAAAGAGAGGGCTTTACCTGCCCCAAAAGACGCTCAGTCCTTGACACATTCTTAAGACAAAAGAAATGCAACTTACCTGCCTCCTCTCGTCAGGGGCCTTCAGGAAAAGTGCATTTATCACTGCAATGGTATATGTTTGGATTTCTTGATCTGTCCTATAAAGACAAAGAACAATACAGAAAGTTAAAAGAGATGGTCCCTAAATCAGATCACGGTATGGCTCACAATCGCCACCCCCCACCCCGAAAAAGGTGACAGAGATAGGCAAGACCTACAAAAACGCAGTCGGCACTGAGAATGTATTTCAGCAATCACAAGGCTGTAAACACAGTGGGTCTACGGTTACTATTACTAGCTGGGCATCATACAGCTTCTTGGAGATCTCTCAGAAAGTAGAGGCAGCCAGCTGGCTCTCCAATACCCTCCCCCCATTGGATTAAAAGCATAAACTCAGGGGATGCAGTATTTCCCGTGTGTATGTGTGTGTAATTTTCTGTCTGATGCATGAAGTATATTGGGGAGCATTCTTGGGTGTCCCCACATTCCTGTGCTTATAAAGGTAACTGCTTTATCTCCATGGCAATGATATTACATATTTTTAAAATCTATTTCAAAATATAAACTTTTTAATAACAAGAGAAACAGATATTTATAAATTTGCTTTTCACTGAAAAGAAACGAGAAATTCTAAATGAAGCCCATATCAGCTGTACCTTTTCCCTGTAAGCAGACGGTAAATAGTAAATAAGAGGAACTCAAGGCATACACAAAGAGAGGTCTGTGAGCTACCTTTAGAAGGCTGTAGTGGACTGAATGGTGGCCCCAAAAAACATATACCCACATCATCATCCCTGGAGCCTGTGGCTGTCACCTTACATGGCAAAAGAGGTGATTAAGTTAAGGATCTGGAGAGGAGAAGCTTATCCTGGATTATTCAGCTGGGTCCTAAATACAAGCACATGTATTCCTATAAGAAAGAGGCAGAGGAAGTTCTGGGACACACACACAGAGGAGAAGGCAACGAGAAGAGAGAGGCAGAGACTGGAGTGATGTGGCCGAAAGCCAAGGCACACCAAGGAATGGTGTTTCCACCAGAAACTGGAAGAGCCATGGATCAGATTCTTCCCTAGAGCCTCTGTTCTGTGGCCCTGCTGACATCTTGATTGTCAACTTCTGTCCTCCAAAAACTGGGAAAGAATAAATTTCTGTTGTTTTATGTTTGTAGTTACACAGCCACAGGAAACTAACAGCTCTAGAAAACGAGTAGAAGGCAGGACGGAATTCAAAGCCCAGTTCACCATAGGCTGGTGTGGCCCTGGACAAGTCCATGTGGTCGCCCTAAGACACTGTTTCCTCATCTGTAACATGGGGTAAGAACAGCACCTATTTCAAGGTGTCACTGTGAGGATAAAGGAGCCCCTGGGTGGTGCAAACATTTAAGCACTCAGCTACTGATGGAAAGATTGGTGGTTTGTTTGAACCCATCAAGAGACACCTTGGAAGAAAGGCCTGGAGATCTACCTCAGAAAGGTCACAGCCATAAAAACTCTATGGAGTGTAGTTCTACTCTGACACATACGGGGTCCTCATGAGTTGGAATCCTGTTAGGTTTTTGGGTTTTGATGAGGATAAAACGAGATAATGCATACAAAATCCTTAGCACAGGGCTTGGAAAATAATAAACTCTCCACTTTGAGAAAGTGCGCTGTGAATGAGCAAGTGTCCCCTGGAGGCTCAGACAAAAGATACAGACTGTAAGGTTAATATGTTTCACATT